TCATCGCACTTGGTGATTTAAGCTTTACGGGATATTGACGGTAAGTAGATTTTCTAGTTGGGTGGAAAAATTTTTCCGAGTCCTTCATCAACTAAGTCAGTTTTGGCACAAATAGCACGATAACACGTGGAACGTACGATGCGTGCAAAACAGAGCGAGGTTAACATAATGTGGGCTTTTTTAGATTGACAAAAAAACACCTCTATCGCTACAAACGCACGCTCTAAACTTTACTGGTAAGCCGTTGGAATCAATTTTGCGTATAAGAAAATCGCATCACATTGAGCGTATATTTTTTTTAGCTCAATGTGTTAACTCTAGGATGTCATCGTCAGTCAGATGGAGAGGTACGAAGATTTTCTTGATTAAGTATTGAAGGTAAATAAGTTTTCTAGCCGTGTAGTAGATTCCTACAAAAGCCTGTAACGAAAGTCAGAAATCGTAATTTTTTGGTATAGAATTCTATCGATTTGAGGAACGAATTTTTTTTTTTCGCACATTCCTTCGATTATCCGCTCAGTATGAATTTTACTGAAATATGAACAAAACGCGACACGACGGTCAAACGCTTCTTCAGGCCATGTCAATTATCATTGTTCACATGATATGCTCGGGATATGCTATTTTCGTTTTGTTTTGCACGCATCGTACGTTCCTCTTGCTATCGTGCCTGACTTATTTGATGAATGACTGGGAAAATTTTTCCCACATAACTAGAAAATCTACGTACCCTCAATATCCCGTAAATCTTAAGTTAAATCTCCAAGTGCGACAAAGTCAACGAAAGCAGAATGGAGCGCGTGACTGATTTGTGATTTGTGATTTGTATGATGCTCGGTAACTGCCCTAAGATTTCCTTGCCTACCCGTCAAAATGGCGTCGAAGGCCGTAAATAAGGTCTATTGTAGCTCATTGTAGCTCATTGTAGGTCATTCCTTGTTTTAATAACTACGGAAAGATCTCACCAAATTATATTGCAATGATTTGAAACGTCATCAGTCTTGAATGAAAATTAAGTTTTGCAATCTCACTAGTTATCATAAATTATAACTTCCACGCCAGAATGCATCGGTAGATAAAACTCAAGCAAGAAGTCCGTTTTGCTATTAGCCACTGTGGCAAGCGTCGAAATGGGTGGTTGACCGAGACAAAGGGAAAAACGGAGGCAAACGGGCCCATCCAAAAGAATGTACGTTGTTCGTTCTCCCGTTTCACAGATTAAACGTACTGAGATGGGTCTTAAGGGCATTGAGACGAGTTAATTGTAGAGTGAGGTTTACATTAAAATTAGTTTTGTAAGAATTGAAATGTCAGGTGACAAGTTATTCGTTGCCGGAAATACTCACACGAGCTTCTAGTCTTCGTAAATGTGCGCTGTTCGCGTTGCCGTT